ATCATCCTGGGTCCTTCCCAGCACTAGCCAGGACACAGCCCCCGTGCAGACCCCAGATCTTGCGACGCCCTCCCCTTACCTGGGCTTCTGCCTGGTGCGGAGGGGCGGGCGGCTTTCGGCTCCCCTGGCTCCCGCGTCTCTCCCTGGCTCTCTCCCTCCTGTTTTCAGTGCAGAATATGTGCTGTCTAAAACTAAACCGTGCATCAGGCTCCCTGCCTCCAGTCAGCTGATTCGGCTGCCTGTTTTGTTGTTGTTGCTAAATATAGCCCGCTGGCTGCCTGCCCTGCCGAGGAGCCCACATTTGACAAATGCCGTGTAGCATCGGGACAGCAGACAGGCACCAGGGAGGCAGGGCCATCCTGTCCCCAGGGCCGGTCCACGACAAATCCCTGCTGCTCCGCTGCCTTATTGTGGCATTTCACCCATGTGAAATGCAAGTGCGGTGCCGTGATCGTGCCGCAGGAGGGGCTGCCCGTGCTCTGAGCTGGGGAGTGTGAAAAGAGGAGCCGTAGTACCATCGTTTTTCATTGCTGAATGGTGAATCCTCAGGGTTTGAGCTGCTTTTGCTCCTTCTCTGCCTTATTTCACAAGCAAATTCATGCCACTTGGACAGGTTTGCCCAGGAGAGAGGGGGGTGCCTGCAGCATCGTTATCGCTGCTCTCCTCCCTCCCTGCTCCCAGTTTTGAGCTGAGCCATGCATCCACTGCGGAGGCGCAGCTTTTTTTCCGCCGCAGCACTGGCAGCCTTGTCCCTCCCCGGGCTCCGCTCCTCTAACCCCCTTCTCCCCACTGCCCCCAGCATCGCCCCCGTTTGTGTTTCGCTGAGCTGGCGCCCGCCGAGCAAGACCACAGAAATGCATTACAGCAAATTGCTTTGCCAGGAGGCCTGGCAGCGTCCGACCTTGCGGGTCTCTAGGCAGCAGGGATTTGTCTTTGTTTTCTGGCTTATTAACACGCTGCAAACTGATTGCAATTCTAGTATAACTCCAGTATCCCTCTCGTAGCCTCTCTTGCAGCATCGCATTGGGTGGGGAGGTAAATAGTTATTTTGCAGCAGAATCTTCCTTCTGCTTTTATTTCCCAATACTGTCCTCAGAGGGAGCCTCGATAGCTGCTATTCGTTACCAGGGAATAGCCACGCTGCACAACATCCCTGTGTGACCAAGGCCAGAGAGCGTACCTGCGTTTCTGAACCTTGCTGCTCCCTACACCGCCTGTCCTGAACTGCTGGGAAGGATGGAGAGAAAAGCAGAAATCCTAGATTAAAAATCACTGCTTTAGTTTTAATGCAAATATTCTCAGTGTTGCCAGCATTCAGGCTGGAATTGGCCTTGACTGCTGATTTGGCCACCCAAGCCCACGCTCATCATCCAGGTTCTTTCTTTATCTCCAGTGGAAAGAAATAAGCAGCTCAAAAGACTTACGCATCCCTTCAGGATATGGTTCAAAGCAGAGATTATTTGTTTTCTGGAAGCAGCCATTGCTTAGCATTTAAATAAAAGGTGTGGAAGCTTAAGCTGTTTGTCTGGACTTCTGATGCCAAACAGCTGAGGTTAGCTGAAATGGGATGCCATCCAGAGGGACCTGGACAAGCTCAAGAAGTGGGCCCGTGTGAACCTCATGAAGTTTAACAAGGCCAAGTGCAAGGTCCTGCACCCGGGTAGGGGCAACCCCTGGTATCAATACAGGCTGGGGGATGAAGGGATTGAGAGCAGCCCTGCCGAGAAGGACCTGGGGGTACTGGTGGATGAAAAGCTGGGCATGACCCGGCAATGTGCGCTCGCAGCCCAGAAGGCCAATCGTATCCTGGGCTGCATCCAAAGCAGCGTGGCCAGCAGGGCGAGGGAGGGGATTCTGCCCCTCTGCTCTGCTCTGGTGAGACCCCACCTGCAGTACTGCGTCCAGCTCTGGAGCCCTCAGCATAAGAAAGACATGGACCTGTTGGAGCGGGTCCAGAGGAGGGCCACGAAAATGATCAGGAGGATGGAACACCTCTCCTGTGAAGAAAGGCTGAGAGAGTTGGGGTTGTTCAGCCCAGAGAAGAGAAGGCTTCAGGGAGACCTTATTGCAACCTATCAGTACTTAAAGGGGGCTTATAAAAAAGATGGTGGCAAACTTTTTAGCAGGGCCTGTTGCGACAGGACAAGGG